TATAAAATTTTTATTTTCTCCTCAGTTTTCATGCTTCCTTATTTTCATCCATAACAAAAAAACAAACACTCAATACCACTGTACAAAATACAAAGATAAACAAATTAAATACGGAAAACATAAGTTAGAATGTGGCTTAGCTTAGATGAATCTGCGACTGCTATTAAATCCAGAAAAGAAAAAAACGAAGCTAAAATCGAAGAAAAATGAGCGAGCTAACAACAGATGTTCAAATTAATTCCGTAATCTGAGCTAGGAAATCATAGAAATAAAATATGAGAATTCAGTGAAAGCAGTAACTCACCGGAATCGGACCTTCAAATTGATCGGAAGGAAGCTAACGCTGTGAGAAAGAGGAAGATGAAAAAATTGCAGAATGTAAGGCCAAAGCAAGAAACAGAAAAGTAAGTGCTCTGGAAAAGAAAATAGAAAGAATGAAAAATATTTAGAAGATCCTTTCTCCTCTTTAGTCCACATCTACTGCACTTTTCTTAACAACCAAACAGAGAACCATCATTCACATGCATCCCCTTGTTTGGCAACCTAAAAATCTCGAGAGAAAAAGCAAAATAATCAACAAACATCGCACACACAGTTCTTATCGAGAACTCACTGTGACATTAAAGAAGAGGAAGCTCCAACGCATCGAAGTTTTACAAATACAGTTTCCCGCATTTTCTCAGGAAACAAACAGAGTACGTACCACAACTTCCCCGGTGGTGCAGGAGAAAAAGGAAATATGAGCATTACCTGAGATGGATTGAAGCGAGAGAATGATTCTACAAAGACGGTGGAATAGATCGGAAATAGCAAGCAACTTGAGCAACACGCTTCTGCTCCGCAAAAGAAACGGCCACCATGGGAGCTGCACTGCGGCAGCTATAATAATGGGAGACGACGCTGTTCGTTTCCCCTCCCCCTGCCTTTCGTTTTCTAATTTTCGGCAACGGAACAAGCACCTCCTCGGGCGTGTGAAGTGAGATCTACTCGCGGGGAAACGATGTCGTGTTAGGGCAATTTGGGTTTTGGAATTTTTTGTGGGGGGAGCGGCTGAGCGAGTACTAGATTTTTGGGAGGTGAGAATTGTGCCGCTATAAGGTATAGGGAATCTGATATTGTGGGCTCCAGAATGTACACGTGGAATATGTAGAGTGGATGTTTGCTGTGCAGTGTCTAGACAATTGGCATAATCGTACCGGTCAAGTCTTTACCTCACTCCCTTATCCTAGCCGTTGAATCCGTCGGAGTTATAATTACCGTCTTTCAAAAAAAAAAAAAAAAAAACGTCGGAGTTATAATTACCGTCTTTCAAAAAAAAAAAAAATCAATAATAAACTAAGTAATAAAATTTTAAATTCAAATCACGCGACAGAAGAATGAAATGAAATAAAATAAAATAAAAATTATTTTTGTTGGATAACCAACAATAAAAAAAAATTATTCCAATCTAAAAGAAACATCAATAATCAATGTGTTAAGAACAAGTGGCATAAGTAACATTTTTCGTATGACCCGTCACCGGAAAGGGTAAAAAAACCCGTCAGTCTACTCATCTCTGTTATATATATTGCAAAAACAAGCTTCTGGGTGTGTATTAGACGTGGCGGTTGGCGGTTCAAGTGTTCAACATGTGTGCACATCAATATGAGTGAACCAGAAAGGCAGATTACGGGCACCATGATGGTGTACTCTTACATGTACCTTTTGTTGGACTAGAAAATGTTTGGGTCAGGTCGAGATCCAAATCCGTAGGCTCCAATACCTTTTATTTTTTTGGAACGATACCGTTAAGTTAACAATAATTTATAAATTTTAAAAAGAAAAAGTCTTAATTAGAAGAATATAAAAAGAATTTAAATGAGAATAATTATTTTATAAATGGGTTTGGAATTGGGCAAACGGCACACTTCAAGTGTTAGGCCACTATCCCAACTCCTTCAAGTGTTACCATGGTGGTGACAAGGTCAAGTTGGGCTGTTTATTTAAGACTTGCAGAAACCTAATTAAAAGCATGACAAGTAGTCTCTTTGATCTCCTTTACCCTGTCCAACTAATTTTCCCTTTCAAATGTTCTACTATATATGGAGGAATGATCTGTTTGGTTTTGCGACATGGGAGGGACATACTGAACTCAAAGTTGTATTCAGGCATAAATTAATTGATGTGTTTGTATGTTTTCTGCAATTATTCCATTGTTTTTAGCTCAAAAGAAGATTCAGACGATGTAAGAACAGCTTTGATTAGATACAGAACAAAGTTATGAAAAACAAAGTAATAAGAAGAGAGGTAAAAACAGAATTATTGTACCTACCTACCTGGGGCATGATGATCATGTGGCGTTGCAATGTGGAGGACAGTGTTTCCCCTACTATCCTTCCCATTCTGCCAAATGCAACGGGTTGAAATACCCTTTCACTTTGACACGAACCAGCTACATTTAACATTAATTTCTCTTAGCAATGGCCTTCATAATAGCAACATGTGCATGACTAAAACCAGCAGTATTTAGTTTCCTTACAAGGAAAAGGGCTTAAGTTCATTAGCACCATCATGAAATTGATCAAAAATCATCCAAAGAATCTGTTTTCCCTTTCAGACAAAGCCACGTGCATGCCTTCATCAATTTTGGATAAAACATATGGATGATGGATCCACAGCAAGACTAGTGCATACAGGGCATCTACACTTCCATGACGAGGTAGTTCCCTCAACTTCTCATCCATGGCTCAACAACTGTAAGAAGAAGAGCAGCTCACACAATGAATCCAAATCTAAAATCAATAAAAAAAAACTAGCATGAACCAGATAGATACAGAAACCCAGCCAAAGTGAAGACTGGATGCAGATCCCATGGAAAATTCCAGAAAGACTGGGGAAATACGAAAAAGAGAAAGCAATTCACAAAACTTAAAAACGCCGTCTGTGGGAATCGAACCCACGACCACGTGGTTAAAAGCCACGCGCTCTACCGGCTGAGCTAAGACGGCTAAGCTTGAAATGGTGAGGTGAAAATTACTTTTTAATATTCCGGTTTAATCTTCACCTACGGCCCATGGATTTTAACTTGGGATGGGTTACTGATTTATCGGCCCATTTTCTCTTCTTTTTTTTTTGGAGGGTAAAACTGGCCCATTATCTATTTATTTATTTATTTTTATTTTTTAATGTTTGACCTAGTAGCTAATTAATTAAGATGAATATGTGATAGTGATAACGTGATTGTTTGCATAAAATAATATGATAATCAAATCTGACTTGGGTATCTATTTTTATAAGCATGACAGACCTTAAAATTAACTCTATATTTAAAATTTAATTATTATAATTAATTACCAGTAACATGGTGTTTCTCATTCCATTTCTTCACCTAATAAATATAATATATTCCTTAAACATATGATTTATTTCCATGGAGATGGAGGAGACATTATACATCTTCATTTTGATGTCTCATCACTCATGTCAAGTATTTGTAATTTCTTGTATTTATCCAGAAGAATAATTATTCTGTTGGCTTCTAATTGAGTTTGAGTAGCATCCAAAATCCCTTGGTTTTGTTTATAAGTTACGATAGCAGTCTAGGTAGATTTCGTGCCTGTCTGTCGAAGTTCTTTATTTTTTATTTTCTCTCCCCTCGAGTGTGTATATATATATATATTGTAAATTTGATTATAAATTATATAAGAGAAAATAATTTTTTTTATTTTCATTTGGTTCAAAATTTGAATTTGAAATTTTTAATTTTTAATTTTTAATTTTTAATTTTTAATTTTTAATCGTTGAGTAACTTTTTAAAAGTTATATATATATATATATATATATTCCCCTATTAAAATGGTAGTATATTAAACTAAAGAATTGCAGGGCCATCCAGAAACCAAAAAGATAACACTAAAATATAAGCAAATATAGGTATTGCTAAGAACATGCAAGAAAGAAAGGGTATGGTGTGACACTGGCATCCACTTTTAATAAAAGCTTTTCCACAGCATTTTTGCCTCCTTTTAAGTTTGAAAAATTATTGGAATGATATATTATTTTTTATTATTTAAACTGTTTATATAGGTAAGTTTTAGAAAAAAAAAAAAAAAAAAACGGTGAGAGTAAAGTGCTTGAAGTGTTAAAAATCAACTCTTTTTTTTTTCTTTGTGGGAATAGATCTTTGATATGAAAATATTTTCAAAACATAATAAAGAAATTTCATTTTTTTTGGTAATCAACATTAAGAGTTTCAAAGATTAAAATTCACGCAAAACATAATCATGTCATTTTTTACCCTTAACGCTAGATGTTCACTTGTTCTACAAAAAAATAATAATCAATGTTGAATCATGCAACCGAATATTACTATTGTTTTTTAAATAAGACTATATAAAAAGTTATAATTTAGTTAATAATAAAATTTATTCTTTATTTTAGAGAGGCCAAATATGAATGAAAAATAATTTAGAAATAATTTTTTATATAATTTAATGTGTCACTTAAATAATTAATTTTTTTATTTAAAATCTGTAATATTATATATATTCACTCATTCAATGATATGTAAAAATTATCTCATATTACCACATGATATAAATAGACAACTTTTCATAAAATTTTTATTTTTAACATAAATAATTTATATTTAACCAAATAAAAAAATAATAATCTTAAAGTTTGTTCAAACTTACCTCAACACAATTTTTAACTGCTAAGAAAAAAAATGAAAAAATGGAAAAAATGTAGGGGGCTTGCTTCTTTATGGGGGAAGATTGCATGATTTTTGCTTTAAAATATGGTCTGTCTTGTACTCGGCAAAAATCTTGATTGTATCAAGAAGATTGTCTTTCTTTGAAATCATTTGCAATTATCGTTGGATTTAGTGTGAATATGCAATTATTGCTCTGCCACCTTTAATTTCGACCATTTCCCTCAATATCACTATCAAATCAAAAGTTCCTTCAGGTTGCTCACAACCTGAGACATGACCATTTCACCCCTTCACCAACTACCATGATTTTTTTGAATAAACATTTTTTTAAAAATGTAAAGTATTTTATTTTAGTTTTCTATATATTGAATAATTTAAGATAAAGAATTTTAACACCTATTCAAAATAAAGGAAGAAAGAATTTCAACATGGAATGTTTTCTTATGAAAAGTGTTTTGTAGGTTACTTTTTAAAATTTTTTTAGAAGATATATCTAAAAATTTAATTTTAAATTAATATTTTTTAAAAATAATCATTATATTAAAAATTTTATTTATATAGATTATATTTATTAATTTTTAAATTATTTTAATAGTTATAACCACTTCATTAATTATAAAAAATTTAACATTTTAAATATATGTTAATAAATAGAGTTTTTTTATTAAAAAATTATAAATGTTAGATTAACATAAAAACTGATATGCATAATTTACATGAATAAAACTTTTAATCTAACCATCTGTTTTTAAAACTATTAATTAAAAGCTAAGCTTTTACATAAATCTTCTAAAAAAAACTTTTAAGAACAACATGCCTTACACTATTTTTATTTTTTATATCAAAAGCAATAAATGATTAATGTTTTCTCAATATACTTTATATATCATACCTCATGTAAGGTCAAATTCCAATATTCAAACTTGTGATATGATAATTTTAGGTTTTTTTCCTTATTACTTTCTCAAGCTTTCATTGACCTAATACATATGCTGAATTCAAATGGCCTTCGTACGACACACTGAGATCACAAGGAATTCTCAATTTGAATCCACACTTTCAAATATAAGAATTTGAATAATGATTATTAAGGAATTGAAAAATAAAAGGTCTAATATATGAAGAATTGCTACACATTTATTCTTTCAATGTCTATTTTTTTGGTACATTAAAAAGTTAGTTATTTGGTAATATAGAAATTTAAATCTTAAATCTTAACTTCAAATTAAGACTATTAAATTATTAGATATAAATTTCGCCAAACTTTTATTAATATTCTTTTAGTGTCTCTTTGTAACTTATACTCTCTTGTTTTAGAATAATAAACAATTTTTTATTTAAAATTTATCTTAAATTAATATTTATTTTTTATATTTTTAAGAAGATAAATAGTTTTTTTATCTATTTACCCTTATCATTATTTAATAATTTTAATTATTTATTCTATTATAAAATAATTTCTCTTATTTTTATCATTTTTTAAAGTAATACTCCTAGATATATAAATACAAATTATCCCAAAATTCTTAATTTACAAATAAAATCAAGAAGCTTTATAGTATTATAGTAAGAGAGAAGGGGTAGAATTATAAATCCCCATCTATAAGTAAAATAAAACAACAATATTTTTTTTCTAAGAGCTTCTTGTCACCTCAATATATCTGGCAAATAATATAAAAGTGTTAATTACAACAGTATGAAATGAATAATTAATAATTTTAAAAATAAAAAATATTTAAAATAATAATAATTATTATTAATTATCAAATTAAACAAAATTATTATACCAAACCACTCCCATTTGTGCTTAGCATACAAATTTCTAAATCTCTACCTCTTTCTTTTCATTTTTTTCGTAATCATTGACATTTAGATTATTTCTTTTTATTTTATTGGTAAAAATTCACATTTTGTTAAAAAAATCATAATTTTTTTTAATACTAATCTCTCGATATCTGATGACCATGTTGAGTTCAATTAATTCAAAAACAAATCGCGTCAAACGACTCATACCTCATTAGAGGTAAATTCTCGTAGTACTTATTTATTTATTTATAAAATTTAAATTTAAAATCATATTTTAAAAAAATTAAACACCTTCCATTTCAACCCACAAATAGTTGGTAAAAAGAAAAAAAAAATCATAATAATATAACTAAAATTATTGTTGAGCCTCAAACACAAATAGAAATATTTTCCCAAAACCTCCTCTACAATCCTCAACTAACCAATGGGGCCAATTATCCTGTTCGATTCGTACCGTAGTCTGAGCTATCTTCTTCCTCCCCTCGTGACCCCTCCTTTTCTCTCTGCATTCTGCAACACGACATCCCTCCATAAACTAACTCAAACCAAACCTGCTCCTCTTTGTTTTCTTCTGCTTTCCATCAACAAATCATCTGCAACTTTAAAGAATTTCTTAACAATTAAATGAATGCTTATTTTATTCATCAATCCAGAGTTCGTTGATCGCCTCACCCACTTATACCCACTTTAAAAAATCCATTTTTTCGCCATACCCGTTATTTTTTTAAGCGTCGTTTATCGTTTGTTCTGGAGAAAATGAAGTGTTTTCATTTCACGAATGGAGAGAGAAGGGACGACGACGACGGCGGCGGTGTGGTCGGGTCCAGGGTGTCGAGGGTGTCGTGGACGCGCTCCTTGAGTGTGGCGTCCAGTAGTGTCGATACCAGGCGGTTGGAGTTTGATTATGAGTCCAGGGACTTCTCTGACTCGGCTGCCAGTTTCTATGAGTTCCTGACGCACCGGCGCGCCAACAATCTGCGGGTTTTCTCGTTTTCCGAATTGAAATCGG